GGCACCAAAGTCAGTAGGACTCATCCTCTGGGGACCATAAACGTCTGTACAAATTTCGTGGAATCAGTTGTTGAGATATTCTAGTTTGGACCAAAGTGGTGGACTGACAGACTAACATCGCACGTCGCTAGCTTGGCTATAGCCTTCTTGATGGCACAATTAAAGGGTTAAGCCTCTGTGCTGAACTACAGTAATAAAGACACTGATGAGTGTGTGCAAGAGCTACTCACTTTGTCAGGATTATATTCTTCTACATGTTAAATTGCTGTTCGTCACCAGCAGCTGTCCTTTCAGTGAGCAAATTATGATCTAAAATACAATTTAATAATGTTGTCATTCCCTTTAATGTGGATATGACTCAAGGGCAGGCCTACCCTTTACTGTTTCACCGCTGTGAGTCAGTGAGTCGTGCTTGCTGTGAGACAGAGACAGAGAGGGGGGAAGAGAAAGAAAATAAATTTTTGTTGTGGATTGGCTTGTTTTTATGAATTCAAATATCATAACTGTTGATTTTTAAATGCAGAGCAGTCCTAAAAAACGCTAACGCAGCTAATAATATCTTTGCGAAAGGCAGGACACAAGCCGCAAGGAAACAAAACAACACATGCTTTATTCAGAGAAAGCTGTCTCTCAATGGACCAGATGGAGAGCTAGTGTAAGACCAGGACAGATGTTTCACTAGACCAGGGTGTGTTGTTTGTTTGCGTGTGAGGGGATGAATTGGATCTGAAAGGAAAGTTGAACAGCAGGAATAAATTGAGAGAGAGGAGGGAGAGAGCATTGAACCCTTAGTCCAGATTGCCTGTCAGGATGTATGTGTTTCCATTTTGTGCTACTTTATACTTCCACTCCACTACAATTCAGAAGGAAACAATGCACTTCACTACATTGATCTGACAGCCATAGTCAGATGTAGTTACTATTCAAACACATATTTACTTTCCAGATTAAGATTTTAAATACATGCATAAACTCCCCAACAGGATATAAAGTCATTAGTATGAAAGGGTAGAATCTGGAGAATGAATAGTTTTTACTTTCTATACTTTAAGCATATTTTCCCTCTATACCATTGTACTTTTACCTGAATAAAGGGATTTATTTAAATAGGAATCAGTAAAATATCACAATAACCACATTTTTTTGCTGGCCCTGCCGTGGTGGTCCCCTGTCCTACACGGTGCTGTTACCACCAGCGGGAGGAACATTTAAAAGCCTCGACAGCACCATGGCCAGCGCCTGCTCGTGCGCGCGGTGACACTGTAGCATTAATGTGTGTTTAAAGAACCTCGAGGCTTTTTTAGACATTTAAAACACGGCCCCGTCCATCCCTAATCGTGACCATGGGCTCTCCACTAATGACATGCGCGATACACCTGCGCTCACTGCCCTGACGTCACCCCTCCCCGCGCTGTTGGCCTCGAGACTCACAGAAAATAAAGTCGCAGGTGCTGCGAATTGAATCGCTAATTAGTGTCAACAGTAATGTCGCGGTTTTGTGACGCTGTGCGGCTCCTCTGCTTCATAAAGGCAAGTATTAGCAGGTTAAGTTAAGCTAACTAACATTACCTTAATTACTAATGTGTGATATTAAAGTGACAGGTCGGAAACGAACGGAGGGAGGCCTTAATAATTGGGCTGAACTTGATAAACTATAATGTAATACAATTGTCTGCACTAAGCTAACCTGGCTGTAACGACTTGCAGTACTCCGTCACCAGCCCTGCCTCTACCATCTCTCCGTCTGCCGCTTTGTCTACGCATCCATGTGGGTTTTCCCCTATTCGCAGCGCCTCTCCGCTCCGCCAGCCTCTCAGCCATTGGCTCCAGAGACCATCAGTCTCCCTTCACAACAATAGATCCCTCCACAAGCGCGCGCGCTCCACACGCGCACCGTGCTTTCGAGGAGCGACGGTGAAATGTTGGCGGAGCTGCGTTTCACCGACTCCTTTCTTTCCAGCTTCACGTCGGCGAGGAGCGCGGCCGAGCCTCTGCGATGCGCTCAACCGGGGACGCGTCGGAGTTGAAATAAGGGAAACACGGAGGGGGACAAAGAGACAGGGGGGGGGGATTTTCTTACGAGGATGACTGACTGGTGACAAAGAAAACAGGGGAGCCCCTCTGGCTTCAGTTGTCACCCGCTAGAACTTTGCGTTTTGGGGGAGACCGGCTTGCTCTTGACTTGGAAAGCCAAGGATTTTCTTTTTTTTTTATATCACCAGGAACCATGCCTGTCCGGAGGGGTCATGTTGCGCCACAAAACACATTTTTGGGAGTCATTATCCGGAAATTCGAAGGACAAAGTGAGTACCTCGTCTCTCTGGTGCCCAGTGCTGTGTGGGTGCGTTGTGGTGTGCTGCCTGCCTTTTGTGTCCGTCCTGCTGCATGCTCAGAACAATCATTTAGGCGTCAGGAAATCGCCTAATAGGCCTTCTTTAATAACAAGGGTTATGATGCAGATAGGCTGCAATGAAATAATTATATTTTCCCCTGATTTTATTAATTTTTTTTCTACCTTTTTATGTCGGAGGTAAATTAAATCATTTTAAGTTAATTACCCCTTTACCTTGTCTTGTTGTACAGTCCTGTAGTGCTGGGATACCTCTACTGTAGTTTAAAAATCATGCATATCACAAACAAGGATTAAAGAGATTTAATAACTTCCTAGATCATATTCACAAAAATACCTGTACTGCCCTTATTAATTAAATCCTCCTGTTACGTTTGGTTTTTCTAAATTATTTGCGGTGCTGTGTGGTTGCACACCACGCTGGAGGCCCGTAGACGAAAGCAAAGGACTCCTTTCCTGTGCCATAAATCTGGCTTTACTGCTGAAAATGTGTGGCCTTAATTACATTCTATTTTAAGCTTAATGTCAAATAACTCCAATCATATACAAATGCAATAATCAAGCTTTAATAATCTCATAAACAAGAATCAAGCAATCCAGTCGGTTTATGGAGCTGTTATTCACTGGAGCGGTTTAGCACCATTAAGAAATATAATGGAGGATAATCACATGTAAACAGATTACACCCAGCTACCTCACGCACCATATTAATGCTATGTACTTATTGTTTTAATGTATTCATTTATATATATATATATATATATATATATCCACATGTTCAATAACGAGTGAATCGTGACAGTAAATTGGTCTTCAAATTAACAATGGTTCCTCTCTCAATCTCCCCTCTACAGATAAGAAATTCATCATAGCCAATGCCCGCGTACAGAACTGCGCCATCATCTACTGTAATGACGGCTTCTGCGAGATGACTGGTTTCTCTCGGCCGGACGTCATGCAGCGGCCGTGCACCTGCGACTTCCTGCACGGCCAGCTCACCACCCGGCACTCGGTGGCCCAGGTGGCCCAGGCTCTGCTGGGCTCAGAGGAGCGCAAGGTGGAGATCACCTACCACCGCAAGGACGGTGAGTGCCGCGTGTCGTGTCTACGGGGGGCCGGGGGGGGGGGGGCTCAGCTGGCGTGTGCGGCACATGACGTGAAGCTGTTGAAGTGCTGTTACTGTTATTTGCACGCTGGCTGAGCCACCGAAGCTCCGTCACTCCCTCTCTCAAAGTAATCCTCGCAATATATTTGGTTTTGTTGTGTGCTGCACAGGACAGACCCACCTGCAGTGTTATTGCAAGATACGCATGATACATGTGTGACTTTTACGATGCCTCACTCTCCAGGTACACGGTGGGTCATTTTGACTTCTGAGCCTGCTCTATCTGGAGCATTCTGCAGCAGCAAATCACTGAGTGCACCCATTTAGATCCCGGAGGGGGGAGAGCAGCTGTGAAGGTTTCCTTTTTGCTGTGAAGTCCAGTTTTGAAATGATGCAAGCGCTCACTGTGAAACATGTTCATTAGCCTGCGCTGGATAGGGCACCCTGGGAAGGAAGTAGCTCACCTCCCTAGAGACTCATGTGGAGATAGCGAGGAGTGAGCTCTCTCCTCTCATCGTCTCCAAAGAAATACCGCAGCTGCTGTACAGTACAGTCACTCTGCATTCATTCAGCTACAGACCTGACAGGCCTGTGACGGACTATCTGTATAGCTTTTCCATAGTTTACATAATCGACTGGCGTGCACATGCTGCTTATGAATACTCTATGCAGATCATGACTTGGCATGACAGCTGGTATTGTTTTGATGAGTTACAAGGCCAGCTCCAGAGCGAAAGTTTAAACCAGTCGCATCAGCTGTTGTCGTTCAGGGAGCGTTGATGTGGTGACCTCCGACAATGACATGCGCATGTATCACATGATTGAGCCTCCTTGCATAATGCTAAAGGTGAAGTTTCCAATATGGCACCAATAAGGATTAATGGTTTCATCAGAGCTATGTGGAGATCACATGTGTTGTTCTATATTGTATGTTGACATTAGGCTTCATGGTGTTAATACTGAGAGAGAGAGGGAGACGGTTTACGGAACGGTGACGAATGATAATATCCTTGCAGACATAAATGTGTGCTGTCGGAGGTTGGAAGAGTGGCATGAGGTCGCTGAAAAATGCTTGATGGAAGCTTATTGTTTGAGTGGTTGGAGTCAATAAGCAACCCATAGCTTTGTTTTATATTGTTCTTACTGATCATCAACAAGCAGCAGAAGAAGCTCAGTCAGGACCATTAATACTATCATTTTCCCTGCATGTCTTGTTTTATGTTTGCCACAGATTCCATACCCAGGGAATTGAACTAACATCTACTAAAGGGCCAAGTTCTGTCTTGTACAACTTTATAGCTTTACACTCGACCACATTTCAGAGGGGAATTGTCTTCCCTTTAGCCCGCTCCATTTATCTGACAGTTCCAGACATTTTTTTGTCTGTTTTTCTGGTGATAGAGGAACATTCTTCCAAACACACTGTCGCCAACGAAGTTCCTTTAACACACGTAGAACTCTCTTGTGTGGATCCTTCAACGTTCTTGTAAAGCTCTTTTTACCATATCGCCCAGCTCTACTTTTTGCAGAGTTAGAAGCACCTTCAAGGAGCATTCTGGAGATGTTCTGTTTTTAAAATGAGCTCGCAGGAAGGAGCCATTAGTGAGCACTCATTAGTGAACAGTATCGCATTACCACAAGACGAAGCTATGCCGGAGCCTTGTGGGAATATTTGTTGAACTAATTAACCAAACAAAGATCTTTTGAAGGCGTTAAGACACGTTACCAAACAGCATCCTTAGGGGAACCCAGGTTCAGGACGGGTGATGCTCTTCTACCGTTCATACCGATGCCTTTTAGTTAACTTAAGTTTTGAACGGAGGACATTGACTCATGATGGAGTATTATCATCCCGTGCTATTGGCGAGATAAAGGTTTAAAGTGCTTCAAACAAGACCGTAACAGGTCTGATGCCTCTCGAGGCCGCCGCGGTGTCAGCCAAGTCGAGCTGGGGGTTCAGTCTGCATCGATCCGCTGAGCGAACAGGACTAATGAGGACACAAATACCTTTATGTTGTATTGATCCTCAAAACCGGTGCATTGTTGAGAGGAAATCAATGAGAGCCCCGACGCCCTCCCTTCACAGGAGACTTGGTTAAAAAGAGCTGGAGGACTTCTGACCGCCGGACCCCGTCGCGGGTAGAAAAGGCCTCATTAGCATTCTGTATGCCGTGCCTCTAATTACCTCGGTGTTTTCCTCTCACCTGACTCAGAGCTTCTCCAGGGAAGGTCACCTGCTCCAATAGCCTCCTTTTTTTTAATAAGCAAGTATGGCTGTGTGATGAATCCTACAGTATTAAATAATGACAATAATAGTGTGATCACGAAGTAGATCGCAACTCTACAACCAAAGCTAAAGTCGAGGAATCCCTGTGGACACACTGGACCTCCATTGCCCCCAGAATCATGTGTCACCGTGCACTGTGCTCTTTATGCATTGTTGTACCACATGTACCACATCCAGAGAGAGTGTTTTTATATGAGAGCTGGTACAGAATGCTTATCGCCCAGAAGGGGAGGATGTGGTTGAATGGAAGTCTGTATTTATTGTTTATGAATAAAGGCAGCCTTTATGTCAAGAGATTCAGAACATGCTGAAGACAATTTTATTTCTTTGCTTGTTGGTTCTCCTCGCAATGCTGGGAAATATCATTACAGATATGCAGTCGTTTATCCACCACACACACACACACACACACACACACAGCTCTCAGGCCCTTTCTCCATCCTCTCCTGTATTGGGATTCCAGGAGAAATGTCACTGCGGCGAGCTGATTGCTCTCCATGTGGTGGACCATTGGGGTTTCTGCAAGGCAATCTTCCTCTTTTTAATCCCATGACCCGGGGTCTGCGTCAATGCGCCGCCCGCTGTCCTTTACAGTCCGTGAAGGAGATTCTGCTCGTCAGCACAATCTCCGGCACATTGTTAATGCTTTCTGATTTGTGCCTTCGCAGAACCACCGGTCCTTTTGCCTCCCAGTGCTCCTATCTGGGCGACCTCTATAAAAGAAGTCGCTGTCATTTAAGTTTATTCCAAAGCCCTGTGTTTGACATTTAACTGCTGAGCTGTTTGCTGCGCTTCAAACTCCAGCTATTCTCACTATATAGATATTCACTTTCTTTATGGTGCATTGTCCATCCAGGAAGATATCAGGTTGGAGCCAAACATGTCATTAAATTGTTGCAGAGGGGCCGTCATAGAGCAATAGTGTTCAATTAGCACTGACAGAGTCCCTCCATTATGGGGCCTTACAGTAAATGCTGGAACGTTGCCAAGATTTTGGATTTGAGTTTGTTTTGCTCTGGCAGGGTTTTGTAAAAGGTCTATTTAAATGCTAATGGAGCGCTAATTTGATTTGCAAAATGACACGAACTCTTCTCATCTAATGCAAATGATGACGCAGGAGCCGGCCGAGAACCACAACCAGCTTCCCTTTTAAAGAACACCTGTTTCAGATGTCAGGTTGAACCATACACTGAACTTATTGTCTTCCACCTCGTCTTACGAACGGCTTCAAAAATCCCAGAGTAAACACAAACCTGCATATTTACTCAGCAACAGTTGCTCTGTTGGCCTCAACCTTCAGTGATTCAAATAGAATAATCGGTGTCTCGCTTTCCCCTCTGAACTGCCGACTCTCAGGGGCCTCGGCGTAGCAAGAAATCCTCAAGCTCAGTACATGGTCAAAGCTTTCACTTGCAAATAGCAAATGAGACTGAAAATGTCGTGCTATAAATAGGTTTAAGTCTTGCCTCAGCGGTGGTCACTGAGATGAGTTTTGTGCCTTTTTAAAATGCCTCGTATCAATGCAGAAACTTCAGATCGTGATGAGTGTGTATCAGAGATTCGGGTGCGTAATGCTAATGGAAGCTCATGTAGCCTGGAGCCTCTGGCCTTGAGCAGCGATGACATCACTCGTGGTATCGAAGGTGTCTTTACCGTGGACATTTCATAGTCCTACAGTGTAGATGCTGCCGGTGTAACTCAAGTTGCAAATGGTGTGAATTGCTCTTAAGAATAACAAGTAAGTAGTCGATGAGGCTCTGTAGCCTCAGAGGAAGCCGGACATGATGAGTGATGACGATGTGACCCGGGCCAGTTCGATGGTGCGACCGTTCTAAATCCTAACAAGACAAACCCTCCTTCTGTTTGTCCTGCAGTCTCTTTCACAGTCTCTGGTTCAGCTGTTTGAGCGCACACAGTGGGCAGCTTGTGTCTGTGAAAGACGTATGGATATGAAAGAAAGGAGGAGGATCGGATGCAGTGGGAAAGAGAGGGGGGGGCAACAAAAAGACCCAATTAGGCAATATAAATGAGACGGAGGGAGTGTGAGGAGGAGCGTTCGAGTGTGACGCTGTGTGCGTCACTGTGAGGGATTAAGTGAGCGAGCTGGCAAGAGAGAAAAAGTGAAGATATCTCGCATACGTCAACTGTACTGCCAGTAGAAATAATTGCCATTTTCATGTGTACCGATGGCACTGTGATCTTTTGTAGCAGGAGAACTTGAACCGACTTACGGCAACTCGCAGACCCACTTGGGTGAAGGTTTTTGAGTAACGAGTGAAACGAGCAGTTGAGCAGAAAGGCTACGGAGCGCAGAGAGCCAGAGTAAACTAACAACGTAATGCTTCATCGCCATGGCCACACGAGTGACAACTTTGTCTGTAACCAGTGAAGCTAACTAGCAGACCGCTTGGTTATCTAGCGTTCTAGGTCCCTCGTGCTTTGACACTACACCGGTAACATGAAGTGAAAGAGATCCTTTGCAAATGGAGTGTGGCTTTGAACACGGCCGTCCTGCTCGCTCTCATCAGTTCTCATGTGACTGAGAGAAAGGAGTGTAATGAGCAAGCCCCCCCCCCCCCCGCTCCCAATCTGAAGTGACAGGGACCGATTTGTTTTGTAGCGAGAGCTTCGATTTCCTCTGCCTTCACGCCTCACAGTGGATCTCATTTATAATGAGTTTCTTCAATGGCTTC